GGAGTGGGAACCAGAAACAGAGGTGGTGAAACTAGGAGACCTTGGTCGGGAAAGTGACGGTAAAAGGAGACAGACTCGTTGAAAGTCACGTCACGCGAGTGAAGGAAGCGGTGAGACGGCGGGTGGTAAAAGTGCTAGTCAGATGAGTCAAGAGGGAAACCAAGGAAGACATAGAGGACAGTGCGGGTAGTGAGCTTGTCCGTGCCAATGGCACGAACGTGAGCGAGGCATCCCCAGACGTGGAACGCAGTCGCGTCACCAGGGGACCCAGTCCAGAGGAGGGTCGGTGAAACCTGCGGCCGCTGGGAGTGGGGCCACAGGTTCAGCTGGTGAGCGGCGTAGCGAACAGCGAACGGCCATAGAAAATGAGGTGCACCGGCATGGATCATGGAGGTACGGGCCACCTCTATGACCAAGCCGATGTGTCGCTCAGAGACCCCATTACTCTGTGGGGAGTCTGGCAGGGTGTACGACTGAGTGATGTCCTCCGCACGACAGAACCGGCCAAGCCAACCGGAGGCAAACTCCCCGCCACGGTTGGAGTGGAGATACAGCACGGGGAGACCTCGGCGGACTTGCGCATGGGATAAGAACGTCAGGCACGTTGGCCTTCCGCTCCGAAGGAAACACCGTGGTATAGTGCGTGTAGTCGTCGACAAGCACCAGGAAGTAGCGCTCTCGACGCGGCCCAGGGACAGGGGCTGGACCCCTGACGTCCAGGGGCAGGGTCTGGAGTGGCGCGGTGGCAGGGCGAAGCGAGGAGGAGTGAGGAGCACGGCACATCCGGCCCTCAACGCAGGGCGTGCACAGCGGCGCAGGCGAGGGAGGGAGGGAAGGGAGCAATGTAGGGAGACCTAGGACAAGACCGTGTTGGGACACGTGATACAGACGCGGGAGTGCAGGGTGACCTAGGCGGTGGTGCCACAGCAGCGACGGGTTAGTGAGCAACCGACACGAGCAAGCCGCGGCTACTTGGGGGGACGCCCTCACCGGGGGGGACGCAGTGTCAAGCGTAAATAGGCCGGGCACAGGGTCCCGGGGGAACGTCGCAAGGGGGGCACCTAAGGCGGTTTTTGTACAGACCGCGTACCGCTCATGTCTGAGGAATGTGGTGGTGACGCCGAGGTCCTGAAGACAGCCGACACCAACTAGGTTCCTAGAGAACGAAGGGAAGTGCAGGCCTGTACGAGTGCCCGAGGCGCCCGCCGGACAGGGAAGGGTGGTGGAGCTACGTGCAACTACCGAACCAGAGGAGGGGTCTGCAAGTGCGACGGTGGCAGGGGCGACATGCAGCGTAATTGAAGTGTGGTCGCGGAAGAAGCAGGTGGACGCACCGGAGTCGAGTGTGAAGGAGAGCGAAGCGCTAGCGGCTGCCGGCGGAGGGCCTAGTGTGGAGCCTAGGCTAAATAAGGCAGTGGATCTTACGCCGGACACAGCAGGGGAGCCTAGACTACACACGGTGGACACACCTACGCTAGGCAACACCTGGTAACAGGATCCAGTCACACTAAGAGTCATCAGCATACATGATAGACATAGCATTCCTAATCAGATCCATGCCAAGCTCAAAGACCGGCACACGACGGCGTGCTAGGGCGTACCAGCCCGGAGAGTCCGACGCAGGACCGAAGCAGTGGCGGAACAGGTCGTCTAGGCGGTGGTAGCAGCGGTCGGCGGTGTGGCCGGACCGGAGGCAGACAATGTCGCGGCGAGGGCCGATCTGCAGGTGGTACTGGCAGGTGACCACACTGGAGCTGCCATCCGACACAGAGCTGCGCCCGCCCCCCCCACAACCACCGCCGCTAGCACCGCCAGTCCACCATGTCGGCGGGGGTCCCCACGTTAACTACTACTGCTGCGCCGACAGTGGCGGCTGCAGCGGCTGCGTCTGCTGCTACTGAGGCTGCGTCTGCGATTCCGGCTGCTCTGGGATACTAGCCCCAATCCCCTCGTCTGAACCACCGTCACCGCCCTCACCGCCGCCATCCTCCCCACCGCCACCCCCCTTCCCCCCACCACGCCCCCCTTTAGGGCGGCGACCCTTACCTGGACGCTTTTGCGCTGAGGCCGCAGCAGCGGTCTCAGCAACAACAGCAGAGACGTTAGGTCTGGTGACTTTGTGACATCCGAGGTTCAATTCCTGGTATACGCACTATCCCAACGGGGGGGTGTGTCATGGCACTAGGATAACCTTGCCGATCCGCTCTCTCTCTCTAGTTGGTGGCCGCTCCTCCAACCCTCACCTCCCGCCTGGGCTTGCCACATCAAATCTCACATCCGACCCACGCACTGTAGTCAATGCCTAACGCCAAGCTCTCATACTAGCGCCTTTTCCGGCTCCAGTCTGCCTGATATCATCATGCTTGCTCTGCAACTCGTGTTCCCCAAATGCACCTCCCTCAGCTGCTTCCAACCAGACCTCATTCCAACCCTGCAAGGCACACACACGCGTATGATCTAGAATCTGAACTTACGAACCTTATTCGCAGCGGTTTTGTTCCTTTAATACCAAGGCTACCTTATCGTTCCTGCCATCGTCGGACATGATACTCGCCTTGTACCTCATCTACGCCATACAAAATATGGCCACTCTTTCTGTGATCCAACTTCCCTGCTCGCCGTCAGCTTTGCACACCGCATGATTGGTGCACCTTGCCCAAGTACCGGTCCCTTTCAGGACACAAGTTTGAGAGTCTACAAAGCGGCGATGCTTCCGACCCAATCGAACTAAGGAACCGGTCTCTCTGCACCAAGTGCATGCGATGGCTTCTCACTTCATCAGTGCTGATGACCCATCTACCTTTTCTGAAAGGTCTCATTCCACTCCTCATGTATGCGGGATTTTTGCGCTACTCCGACCTCATGGCCATCAACTGGTAGGACATTCAGTTGGAGGATGACGTGATATGGTTGCTCATCCCGTGCTCCAAGATGGACTAGTCAGGCCAAGGCTCTTGGATTCCAGTTGCTGCTGTTCCAAGACCCGTTTGCCCTGTGCGGTGCACTAAGCGTCTCATCCGTTTGGCGGGCTACGAACCCTGCATCCCGGGACCCTTAATCCGAGTGTTCAGAACAGCATCTGGTGGCGCCGGCACAAGCAAGCCACCATCATACACCATGATGCGCTACTGGTGCAAGGAGGCATTTCACACTATTGGCCCCGGCGAACACCATCTCGGCACCCATTCGTTCCGCAAAGGTGTCGCGACTGTCACTGCCCACGGATGCATAGTGGACCGGCTTTTCAAAAGTCTTGGCAAATGATGCAGTGACAAGGCGAAAGAGATGTACGCCACGCTAGCTGCTGACCAACTAGTGTCGGCCTTCTACGAGGTACAGACCCTCGCGTCGGCGTTGTCACCTACAGAACATTCTCGAGCGCTAGCTCGATACCGGCGAACGTCCCTACCCATATCTCAGCTTAGCCCAGTAAAATGAGAACGATGCCAAATGCACCAACAAGAAGCAAGCTTTCTCAATATGTAACATTTTAGTGTTAGACTTTTAAAATTGCGTATTGTGAACGCGGAGCTGCTTGTAATGCAATTTTTTGCATTGTCGAAGTGCGCTATTCGTCCTTCTCCGACTATATAATGTGGTTGGAGGTCATTCTCCCTCCACCCACGTCTTTTCATTCTTCACAGCTCAACTCCAATTCCCACCCACCCGTCGTGGAGTGGGATAACCCTGTCGATCCTCTCTCGCTCTCTAGGGAGGGTACTGGGGAGGCTTTCCCTGGGGAAGGTGGATATATGGAGCCTAACCCTCCTGATGAAATCCCTTCTTGTGACACACCAACCCGTTTCATCTGGCTTCGTCGACCCGTCCCCGGCAACCTGTAGTGCTCCCGTGGATCGTCATCAGCATAGGCATAGCCTTCTCAATGTAGCTATCTAGGTTGATATACTGATATTTTGGAAACTCTTTCTACTTGATGCCAGTGAAATGAGAACAATGCCAATTGCACTAACAAGAAGCAAGCTTTCTCAATGGGGATTTTTTTAAGAAAAGGAAGTCTATGGAGAACACTTTCCTTAATGTGCATCATGCGCACTAGTGTGTACAGCCGTTGACATCGGCCCTACCTGGTTACCACTTGTTCGCACGTTGCAGATTTCGTCGACCCACCCCACGTCAGCACTGCCGAGTCACTTGCCATATAAGCTTGTAGAGCCACTGACCATCCTCGCACACTAGCTAAATATCTTGCCCACATCACTAGACGTTACCCATAGCGCATTTCCCCTATATGGTTTGCATGCATTTAGCTAAACAAAAATTTGATTCCCTTCTTCTGTTAGCTCATCCTCTTTACTAGGCCCTACACCCCGAAATTCCAGAACGAACGACGAGGGCGTGGTCAACACGCTCCCTCAAATCACGGGCTCATTGGCGACACCCCTGCAATGCCCCATGTGTATGCAAAACTTCGCATTTCCCTTCTACAACAACTAGAATGCCCGTCGCCCAACACCAATCAGCCTCCGCAATCTGGTCGCAACACAGTTCGCCAATCGAGCTACCTCCCGCTTTACTTTCTGCGGACCAGCCCTGGAGCCCAGCTCGTACAGCAGTCCGCGCGGGAATTTGTTTCTCACTCAGCCTTCAATTGTTTGGCACAAGTACACGTGTTCTCCTCTATCAGTCTACCCAAAAAGTCCAAATTGAAATCCCACCCACCAGGTTCTCAGCATGACTCGCGTTGACACTGAACCTGATTGGCTGCAGTCTGAACGATAGCGAACAGCCAAGTCGAATATCGACAATTGCGAGTTTCGGGGCTGGGACATCGCGCGGGCAAGTCCAGTGCATGAGCGAGACTTTGTAACAAATGTCAAGATCCCGTTTGCCCGTGTTTTACCATTTCCTGCTTACAGGCTCAGGCCGCGTGCTAAAAACGTAAGACTAAATAGGAAGAACGGTGCACAATAATCGTTGTTCGACGCACTTAGTGTTGCAAACCCTTCACACCATTTTCAGAATTCAATAATCGTGTGCCGCCTTTCTCGGACCTCGATAATTGCCTTCCTTGAGCTCGAGAAGGCGCAGCCGTCTGGGTTCTATAAGCTGCTCGCACCGTGCGTGAGGATGGAGTATTTAAACGCCTTCCTTTCCTCGTTTACACCATCGATCACTTTTAGATGCTCAGTATACAGTCTTGATTCCTGTTCCAAAGTCTCTCAATTCCCAGCTATCATTCAGCTCCGCGAGCAATATATCTGCAAGTCGCCTGTCAAGCTTTTCTTCGATGGCTCCCGTTTTCAACGTCACCCCTCTGTTACCTTTCGGAATTCTTATGATAGGAGCTCTCGGGCTGCTTGCTCCTGCCAGTGCCGCCACCTACAGCGCCAATTACAACGACGCACTCAGCTATTACGGCGGTCAGTGCTTCTCAGGAATCTTCCTCTCGGATACTCCCTACAATGGGCTCGTCGCCAAGATCCCCAGTAACAAATTCCAGCGCGGCTTGGGCTGCGGCACGTGCTACGAGATCAGGTGCACGAACCACGAGAGCTGCCGAAACGGCGGCGTAAATGTCACAGCCATCGACGATGCGGGCAACGGCTTCCTCCTCTCCTCCGAGGCGTGGGACAAAATCGTGAAAGAGCGCTCAACGCAAAAGGTGGATGTTACTGCCCGTCGCGTGAACTGCGCTAGGAGCGGCGGCATGGCGGTTCTGGTGATGTCCGGCAGCGACCCGTCGTGGTTCTGGATCCAGATTCTGAACGTCGCGAATTGCGGAGGGGTGGCGGGTGTGGAGGTAGCGAGGGATGGTGCGACCAGCTGGACGAAAATGAGTCGGATGTACGACACGGGCCAATGGGAGTTAAAGCCCGCTACGGCTGTGGTGGCTCCTGGGAAGAAGATAAGCGTTCGAGTGACGGGGCTGGGTGGGCGGAAGGTGGAGCTCAAGAATGTCATCGGCGCGGACTGGCTGGGAGGCGGGCAGACGTACACCAGCAATGCCAATTTTTAGTGGTGATGCAGTCTATAGCGAGAAGTAGAAGGACTCCCGACTACGGTACAGTATCTGTCTTCGATTCGACAGGCACTGCCGTGAGAAGTGAATCGTTCTCTAGCGTGGGCGGGTCTTGAAGTCTCGATAGCGAAGCAGGAGTGGGTGGTTGGAATTCAAGCTGGAATAACAGCGAACATCTGTGGAGACTCAGGAGATGGCGTCGTCTCAAATTCCGAAGTTGAGAGAAGGGCCGAAGTTGGGAGATTCAGGACCATGTCGTAACAATGCATGCATATTTACAGTGGCATAATCCTAGGCAGACATATTTACAAATGTCAAACCCTATCCCCTATTCCACCTAATCTGCAGGCAACACCACTCTAATCATCCACTTCACTGCCAATATTTCAGGTACATGTCTACTGCTGCTCTAGGAACAACCTAAAAAACTACTCTTCTCATGGATGGTCCCTCCGTCATGGGTGGTGTGGAGGGCTGCTGCACCCATGCGTTCAGTTATGGCAAAATAGTACCCGTGTCATACTTGAGTCCCCTCCTGCACCTTTCGCGCATGCTGCTAGCGAAGAGCACTCGAGTGGTGCCAGTTGGTACCATGATCCTGAACCTGCCCACCCATGTGGTGCTGTGCAGCAAGAGCGCTATGGTGAAGTTGCACGTATCGAATTGCTTCTTACTGAGTGCTGCCAATACGTCGTTGGGGAAGCCCCACCACTTGAACACTGCCAGGCATGCCACAGCATGAGAGGAAGAGTGGGGGACATGCAGGTCAGGAAAACAGAGGAGGCACAGAACCAAGACTGGCAGGCGGAATAGAGGCACAGACGGACCTGACCACTTTTGTGAAATACCAAACGGATCTCTCCAAGAGTTCTTTGCGCCTGCAGGAATGTGAGACTGCTATTTAGCATGCCAAAGAGCAGACGATTCCCACACAGGATGCCCTTCACCCCAAAACTTTCCAAAAAAAACGAATCTCACCCAGGGTGTCTCCAACGTGCAGCACTGGCTTCTTCCAAACCCGCATGCTCCACTCGTTCCAAGAATTGATGCCCCCTCCTCCCACCACCACTATCTTGGCCTGGTGGGAGAGAGGGGTGGGTTGGGTAGGGGGGGAGGTTTGAGAGAGGAGAGGGCGAGGGATGGCGGTGGGGAAGGATGGAGTGAGGGGGGGGGAAAGGTGAGAGAGGGAGGGAGGACGAGCGCAATAGCTGTCAACACCAGGCCACAATGAGAAGATTACATACAACAGTATTATGAGTATCAATTTATCAAATATGTCAGCGCCAACCTGTCGACAGTAAACGAAACGTTTCAGCATTCCACGTGAACCCACCGTTACCATGCTCATACCTTGGTTGTTGATGGCACTGCAGAGTGGACAGCGTCACGAAGAGAATGCGAGCAGAAAGAGCGGAACAGCGTGGCAGTGGAAGCATGGCCGCATGGGAGGGGCGGCGGAGGGAGGGACGCATGGGGAGAGAAGGAAACGAAATTAGTAGGTGGAGAAGAGAGTATCTACCAGTTCGTTTCGTATGTACTCTGTACGAAAGCTGGGAAGGCTCAAGTACTCCTGTGATACTTGGCGACAAAGCGTAGCTCATGAATTTGTACAACGCCCCACGTCCCATCCCCTCAGAAGGCAATGGCCCATCGGCGCACCAGCCATGACCAAAAGAACGGCCAAGATCATGGCGAGACGATCGAGTCGCGTCCGTGAGAAAAAGACCGCCATCGCAACGCTTCACCAGAGTCGAAGCGCGCACCCTTGAAGGACGAGAGGAGCACGTAACACTGTAACAGAGCCTCCTTACGAGCCTTCCACGTGCGCCTGTCTCGGTATGCGCGACACGTTGAAAAATGGCTACACGCCGCAGAAAGATTGCGAACTTCAAAGCGCTTCAAAAGCTCCAGAGATTGCGACTCGCCTGGTATGGTACCAGCGCCTGACAGCGGAAAGCAGCGCCCTAAATACAGTCCGCGAGGGGCCCACCAACGACCTCTCAGTGCCTGAACCTGATGCTGGGGGAGAGAGTGGAACCGGGGCTATCCGCTGCGAGGGGGAATAGGTGGCAGCGAGTGCACTAGCTGCTTGTCTGCTCGGTGCAGTCGGCGCCATCGCGGTACGACGCCTCGTCTTTTGTGCAACTTGACTTGCCCTGGCGAGTCAAGCGCCCATATTTCGGCTTGGTACTGTGTGTCAGCGAACATTCACGTTCCCACTCCCGTCTTTTCTAGCCTTGCTCGTGGCGCTCGGATGGTTAGTACGAAGCACAAAGAGCCGTTTTTGCTTGACCGAGCGCAGAGAGCACAGGCGTGCGAGCGCACGAGCGGCGGCGATATGAGACAACCAGGTTCAAGGAGAGGCTGATGCAGGCCTGTAACAGCGCGGCACGCGAGGAGGACCCCGGGCGAGAGGCTGAGCTGAGAGGGCATCAGAGCGCACGAGGGATGGAACAAGGTCGGCGGAGTCGGCGAGCGGCGGGCCAATTGGATGCGTAGCTGGTGATGGCGGCATGTACGAGCTGCTGGCATGTGGCGGCAGGGCGAAGGTGAAGGAGCAAGAGAAGAGACGAGATGCACGTGCGACTAGAGATGCAAGAAAGGCAAGGGCAACTTGACGACGTCGCCTCATTGCACCTCCTCGAAACGCACACAAGCAACAACTTTGAGCTCGAAACCGCCCTGCACCACTCTCCATGACTGGGGGGAGGGAGTGGGGAGTGGCTGCTTTGAAAAGGCAAGTCCTGAACAAAACCATTCCGGCGCTGACACTTTAACCTGGATCTTTCAGTTGAGAGCAGAAATTTCCTAAGCGACTAGACTATAGCGGATGGAAAACATGTAATTGGTCATGCTATAAGTCTCATTTTCAACAGAGGAATTTGTACAGTGACAGATTTTAGGAACAGAGGTTGAGTGACGGATGGGATGCTAGCTGTTTATTCTACAAGCAGGGCATGCACAGATGGTTGCACATAGATGGCAGAAGGGTTTGCGTTGCAAAGCGGCTGCGAAGTAATGCATGCCATGCTTTCTACATCCACAAACAGCCCCAACCAACACATCAAGCACAGATGGTGCCAATGCCAAGCCAACCATTGTCACCACTAACAGTTGATACTCTCCTAGAACGGCTGGCCATGGCAAATCTGTATCTGTTCGCCTCATACCGAACTCCTCATGGCAAGATGGTACCGGTATCGTATTTGAGATCCCTATGGCACCTTGTTTTCAAGCTGCTGGCGAAAAAAAACCCAGTTCGCTCCGGATGGGAGCACGAGCTTGTAGCGACCCACCCACGTGGTGCTGTGGAGCATGATCCACCCAGTGAAGTTGCATGTACCGAACTGGCTCTTTGTGATTGAAGCTACAACGTCATTAGGGGAGCCCCACCACTTGAACACTGCCAGCCGCGCATGCAACAGCAGCATAGACACACATATCCAGATCAGCCAAACGTTTGGACAACATCACAAGGGTAGGTGTTGACCTGCGGTGTACAACTCCGCCCCAGGAAGGAATAACCGAGGCTAGGCTCTTGTCAAGGCTGTAAGTATGTCAGATCACTGCCCGGCCAGGCATACGACATACAATCTACAGCCAGGCCTATAGAATGCAAAGTTTACCCAGGGGTATCCCCAACAGCAATCCTCACTGAGAGTGTCGCCACCTCGCAGCACTGGCTTCTTCCACAGCCTCATGCGCCACTCGCTCCATGAGTTGACGCCCCCCCCCTCCCACCACCACTGTCTTAGCCTGTTTGGAGGGTGTGGCAATGAGAGAGCAAGGTAGAGTGAGAGAAGGAGAGAGGGAGGGACGAGGAGGGAGAGGGGGGGGGGGGGAGGGGGAGGGGGAGAGGAGGAAGAGCAGGCATCAACACCAACCTATAACGAGGAAAAAAAATCAAACATAACACCAACCTATGGTTGTTGATGGCACTGCATAGATGGTAATAACATACCTTGGTTGTCGATGGGACTGCAGAGATGAGAATAACATACCTTGGTGGTTGATGGGACTGCAGAGATGAGAATAACATACCTTGGTGGTTGATGGGACTGCAGAGATGAGAATAACATACGTTGGTGGTTGATGGGACTGCAGAGATGAGAATAACATACCTTGGTGGTTGATGGGACTGCAGAGATGAGAATGACATACCTTGGTGGTTGATGGGACTGCAGAGATGAGAATGACATACCTTGGTGGTTGATGGGACTGCAGAGATGAGAATGACATACCTTGGTGGTTGATGGGACCACAGAGATGAGAATAACATATCTTGGTTGTTGATGGGACTGCAGAGATGAGAATAATATATCTTGGTGGTTGATGGGACTGCAGAGATGAGAATAACATACCTTGGTGGTTGATGGGACTGCAGAGATGAGAATAACATGCCTTGGTGGTTGAGGGGACTGCAGAGAAGAGACACCAGAACAGCGGAATACAGCAGCGAATGGAAGCGTGGGAATGCGGAAGAGTAGAGTTCCCACGTGGGAGGCATGGCGGGGAGGGGAGCATATGGGGAGGGGAGAAATGAATAAATTGGAGATGAAAATACAGGAGATGAAAATGGAGATGGAAATGGAGATGGAAATGGAGAGGGAAATGGCCAGAAGGCAATTGTGGCAGAGGTAGGCTCTGCAGAGAGGTGATATGAAGTTAGGGGGAGTATGCGGATGTGGAGACAGGAACGCATTTGGCGCGGGAGTGAGTGGACGGGCGAGCGCGAGGGAAGTGGGAGATTGAGATAGAGAAGTGAGGGAGAGGGGTGGGAGATAAGTGGGAACGAGGGAGGGAGGGGGAGTGAATGAGTGAGTGAGGGAGGGAGGGAAAGAGGAGTATGTCAGGAGGAGGAAAGGCAAACCGTGTTCAGAGCCTTTGGTTCTGAACTCCCCGTTTCAGAGCAAGGCCGATGGTTCAGAGACTCTCTGTTCTCAGGGACCAAAAACCATTCATTCAACTGAGCTTGTTCTGAAACGCTTCAAAACGCGGCACGATGGCTTACCTGCCATGCCAAGAAGCAGGGCCAGAAACACCACGAGACGATCGAGTCGCGAGTGGGAGGCGAAAGCCGCCATTGCAACACGTTGAGCGGCGGAGAATGACGATTGTAAGCTCGAGCGGACGACGAGGCGAGCAGCAGCGACAACACCGTTTGAAGCGCGACCTTGAGTGCACTCTCGACATTCTCAGCGTCCGCCCCCCACGCGCAATCCTTGGAGTCCTACTCGCCGATTCTTGAGCACCTAGGGAACATCTGCACGCGTTCCCCCCTAGCAATCTTCCATTACCCCGTTGCGCGGAGCCCCCAGTAACGATGCCCCCGATAAGTGCGCCAACCGCTATCACCCGCTGCTAGTTCGCGACGCTCGCCTCCGCCAGGCTTGCGCGCAAGCCAGACGCCTCGCGCAAGCGCGTTACGAAACGGCGGCCGATCCAACGAGGCGCCGATCCACCGAGGCGCCGATCCAACAAGGCGCCGATTAGCGCATGCCCGCCAGTCCATCGGCGCCACGACCGTGGGTGCCATCCCCCCACGCCGCCTTCCACTCACCTCCCGCCGACCGTCGCAACGAGCGTCGACACTCCGTCCGCTTCAACTACAGGCGCGTGTAAGACAGGGATCGGTGGGGGGCAAGAGGGGGATAGGGAGAGGACAAGAGTGGATTGGGAGGGGGAAAGAGGGTTATTTGTGGGGGAAGGGGATACGGCGAGAGGGGGATAATGGGAGGACGGGAGGGGGATCGGGAGAGGAGGGGAGGGGGATGGATATAATACGAGAAGATGATGGGGAGAGGAGGGGATGGGGAGAGGAGGGGATGGGGAAAAGAAGAGGGCTGGAGAGGGATGAGGGGACAACGAGGGCTGAATGGGGGTATGGACAGGAGGGTGATGGGGAAAGTACGGGAGGCGGATGGGAAAAAGACGGGAGGGGGTTGGCACGAGGACGGGAGGGGGATTTGGATAAGACGAGAGGTGGAAGGAGAGAGGACGAGAGGGGAATGGGGAGAGGAAGAGAGGGGGATGGGGAGAGAACTGGGGGGGGATAAAACGCCCCGATGGGGAGAGGATGGGAAGGAGGATTGGGAGATAGCGAGAGGGGGATGAGGAGAGAACAAGAAGGGGATGGGGAGATGACGGTAGGAGGATGGAGATTAGACAGCAGGGAGATGAGGGTTTGACGAGAGGGGGATGTGGAGAGGAGGAGAGTGGGATGGGGAGAGGGCATAGAAGGATGGAGATAAGACACGACCGGGATACATCTCTCACGACGGGATGAGGATGAGGAGATGACGGGAGGAGGATGGGGAGAGTAGGGGGGGCAGGATGGAGATAATACGAGAGTGGGATGGGGAGAGGACGGGAGGGGAATGAGGGGAGGACGAGCGGGGGAAGTGGATAATACGGAAGGGGGATGGAGATACGCCGAGAGGGAGATGGGGGGAGCACGAGAGGGGGATGAGGAGAGGGCGGCAGGGTTGTGGTGAGAGGTCGGGAGGGGGATGTGGACGAGTGGAGAGGGGGATGAGGAGAGGACGACAGAGGGCTGGGAGAGGACAGGAGGCGGGTGTGGATAAGACAGGATGGGGATGAGGAGAGGACGAGAGAGGGATGGGGAGACGACAGGAGGGGGATGGAGACAAGACGAGAGGGGAAGTGGGAGAGGAATATAGGGGGATGGGGAGAGGACGAGAGGGGGAAGGGGGGATGACGGGAGGGGGATGAGGAGACAACGAGGGGGGGATGGGGATGGGACGGGAGGGTGAAGTGGATAAGACGAGATGGAGATGAGGAGAGGACGAGAGGGGATGGGGAGTGTGAAAGGACGATAGGGGGAAGGAGGGAACACGAGGGTGAGTTGGGTAGAGGACGAGAGGGTGATGAGGAGACGACGAGAGTGGGATGAGGGGCGGAAGAGAGGGGGATGAGGAGAGGACATGAGGGGAATGGTGAGAGGGCGGGAGGGGGATGAGGAGAGGACGGGAGGGGGGTCGGGATAAGACGAGAGGGGGATGCGGGTTCGACAAGAGGGGGTTGGGGAGAGAACGGGAGGGGGAAGGAGAGAGGAAGGGGATAAGGATGGGGATTTAGGGGGGAGGAGAATGATGAGAGGACGGGAGGGGGATGAGGATAATGCGGGAGAGGGATGAGGAGAGGACGGGAGGGGGATGGAGAGACACCGAGAGGGGGGTAAGGCGTGGACGAGAAGGGGGTAAGGAGAGGACGTTTGGCGGATGGGTCAAGGACTGGAGGGAGGTGAGGAGAGGATGAGAGGGGGATGGGGAGAGGACGGGAGGAGGGAGGAGCGAGGAAGGAGATAAGGATGGGGATAAGGCGGGAGGAGGATGATGAGAGGACGGAAGGGGGATGGAGATAGGGCGGTATAGGGATGAGGAGAGGACGAGATGGGGCTGGGGAGACGACGGTAGGGGGATGGAGAGACATCGAGAGGGGGGTGGCGACACGACGCGAGGGGGAGGGGGGGAAGACGGGAAGAGAATGGAGAGGGGACGAGAGGGGGACCCCGAGATGACAGGAGGGGGATGGGGAGAGGAGGAGAACGGGATTTGAGGGCGGGAGGGGGTTGAGGAGAGGACGAGAGGGGGGTGAGGAGTGGACGAGAAGGGGGTGAGGAGATGACGGGAGGCGGATGGGGATAAGGCGACATGGGGATGGGGAGAGGATGGGAGAAGGATGGAGATAATACGAGAGATGGATGGGGAGAGGACGGGAGAAGGATGGAGATAGTACGAGAGATGGATGGGGAGAGGATGGGAGAAGGATGGAGATAATACGAGAGATGGAAGGGGGATGGAGATACGCCGAGAGGTAGATGGGGATATGGACGAGAGGGGGCTGAGGGATGGACGACAGGGTTGTGGTGAGAGGACGGGAGGGGGATGTGGATAAGTGGTGAGGGGGATGAGGAGAGGACGAAAGGCGGCTGGGGAGAGGATGGGAGGCGGATGTGGATAAGACGGGATGGGGATGAGGGGAGGACGATAGGGGGATGGGGGGAGTATGGGAGGGAGATGGAGACAAGACGAGAGGGAGGTGGGGAGAGGACGAGAGGGGGATGGGGAGAGGACAACATCGGGAAAGGGAGAGGACGGGAGGGGGATGAGGAGAGGACGGGAAGGGGAAGGAGAGAGGGCGAGAGGGGGATCTCGAGATGACGGGAGGAGGATGGGGATGAGGCGAGATGGTGATGAGGAGAGGACGAGAGTGGTGTGTGGAGAGGACGAGAGTGGTGTGTGGAGAGGACGAGAGTGGTGATGAGGAGAGGACGAGAGTGGTGTGTGGAGAGGACGAGAGTGGTGATGAGGAGAGGACGAGAGTGGTGTGGAGAGGACGAGAGTGGTGTGTGGAGAGGACGAGAGTGGTGTGTGGAGAGGATGAGAGTGGTGTGTGGAGATGACGAGAGTGGTGATGAGGAGAGGACGAGAGTGGTGTGTGGAGAGGACGAGAGTGGTGTGTGGAGAGGACGAGAGTGGTGTGTGGAGAGGACGAGAGTGGTGTGTGGAGAGGACGAGAGTGGTGTGTGGAGAGGACGAGAGTGGTGTGTGGAGAGGACGAGGTTATGGGATGCCGATAGGACGGGAGGGGGGTGGGGATAATACGAGTGCGGGGCGCGGGTTTACCGACAGAGTGATGGGGAGAGGACGGCAGGGGGGTGGGGAGAGGAAGGGAGGGGTGTGGATATAAGACGAGAGGGGGATGGGGAGATGACAGGGAGGGGGGGGAGGAAGAGAGCGAGAGGGGGATGGGGAGAGGAAGAGAGGGGGATGGGTAGAGATAGGAGGATGGCAGTGATAGGGGAGATGAGGCGGATGGCAGGGGAAGGAGAGATGGCATGGGTAGAGATAGAATGGAGTCATGGAGGCGGGAGATGGGGCGGATGGCAGGAGAAGGAGAGGTGGCATGGGTGGAGCTAGGGGGATGGCATGGAGGGGGGAGATGGGGCGGATGGTAGTGGAAGGAGAGATGGCATGGGTTGAGTTGGGGAGATGGCATGGATGGAGGGGATGGGGCGGATGGCAGGGGAAGGAGAGATGGCATGGGTTGAGATAGGGGGGTGGCATGGATGGGGGAGATGGGGCGGATGGCAGGGGAAAGAGAGATGGCAGGGGTAGGAGAGTTGGGGGGATGACAGGGATAGGGGAGAGGGGGCGGATGGCAGGGTAAGTGGGGATGGCAGGGGTAGGAGAGTTGGGGGGGATGAAATGGGATACCACAGATAGGGGGGGGGTGACATGGATGGGAGACATTGGGGGGGCAGCTGGGTGTGGGAGAGTGAGAGAGCGGGGGGAGAGGGAAAGAGGGGGAGAGGGGCGTGAGGAAGGAGATCGTTTACATTGCCGCACCATGGAGCGATGGTCGTCACACCTCTCAGCTTTTCCACCCCAAACCCATGCCCCCCGACCCTGTCTGCACCTACCCCAAACGTGACAGCTCCCATGCAACGTCTACAGCGGGATAGGTGTCGTGTTGCGCGGCGCGTAATCCGCTATGCCACCCCTAGTGATGAGGAGGACGAGGCGCAGGGATCTGCTGGCGCACGGCGCGCACCCTCGCCTAGGCGCCATACTCCTCCCCTTGCCCAGGACCGCAGGGTAGTGAAAAGGGTTAGGTTGTGCACAGGCAAGCCCCCTGCTATTTTTGAAGCACGCGAGCAATGGGAGCCTGATGACTTTACAAAGCAATTTCCAAAACACTACAATGTCCTTGATCAATGGGCAATAGACGAGAAGGGTGCAGGCGAACAGCGTTGCACTATTGAGGACATCTTGAGGGCGTGCTGCGGCAAAAGCACGACCAAGGACGCAAGGGCCGACCAATGCCGCCCAGGAACCACCGGTTTAGGGTATATGTCTGGTATTCAGAGCTGTTATGCGGGGAGCGTGCTCAGGAACCTCTCCCGTGGTTGATTTACCATGTTGTCATCTCCTCGTTGTACGAGGAACCCCCGGGGGTGGTTTATGAGAACTGTGAGGCAAAGGATGTGACGGAATTCGTCAGACAATGGGAGGTACGTGACAGTATCGATTTCAGTATGCGGAGTTTCTCTGGATGTCAAAGACACATGGCTTTGTTGCAATGCATATTCGTACTTGAGACCAGTTGCACGTGCGGCCAATGCATGCATATGCTAGTCTGTGCATTATACAACTTACAAAAGGCGCATAGACCACTATTGATTTCTAATGGGTTTGCATAGCAGCGGCGTTCGCAAGGAAATAACTACCGCACGAGCATGTTCAGCCCATCATGTGCCGTCGTCCCTAAACACCAGACCTCGCTCAGGCACCCGCAGTGGTGCTGAGAGGCCTGACAGCGCGGCAGAGGCGAGGGCTGAGGGCGCGTGACGCTAGTTGAGGCTGAGCTGTGGTGCCTTCACCTGCACATTTACATAAGGGTGGGGTTCGGTGAAAAAACGACGGGAAAGTGCCACCCAGCCATGAGACACACAGGCAAGGGCACCTCATTTGTACGTGGCTGTGCAGATGGCCCAACTAAAAGTGTGCATCATACAGCTTGGTGCGGCATGCTGTTGGGTGCATATTGCTGTTGAGTGCATCATGCAGAATGGGGCATCATGTAGTAGGGTGCAACATGTAGTAGAGTGCAACACGCAGTGTGATGCCCCCTGCAGTTGGGTACATCATGCGGTAGGGAGCATGACGCAGCTTGGTGCATCCTGCGGTAATGTGCAGCAAGCAGCATGCTTCACCATGAACACGGGGGCAGCAAGCAGTGGGGAGCATCGTGCAGTTTGATGCCTCTTGCATTTTGGTGCAACATACAGTCATGATGCATGATGAAGTTTGGTGCATCATGCGGTAGGGTGCACCATGCAGTAGGGGGCAGCATGCAGTGGGGTGCAACATATTGTAAGGTGCAGTGCGCAATGGGGTGCACCATGCCGTGAGCGTGCATCATGCGGTAGGGAGCATGACGCAGCTTGGTGCATCATGCGGTAATGTGTAGCAAGCAGCATGCTTCACCATGAACACAGGGACAGCAAGCAGTGGGGAGCATCATGCTGCTGTTTGTTGCATCATGCAGTAGGGTGCATGACGGAATGGGGTGCATCATACAGTGTTGTGCAACATGCAGTACTGCCGTGAGTTGGGGGGGGGTGTGAGGGGGTGGTAAGTGCAACATCGAAGCTGAGCGTGGGAGGACTAAGGGATCTGATGGCC